CTTCCAAGCCTAAATATAGTGTTATATGGTAACTGGACACTTGTATTCTCCTCTTGTGGACTTTAGTATTGCATAAAAGTCACACTTGAAACTCAAGGAGGAAGTACTTTGAAATCCATGTGACTGAGAAAAAAATTGAAACTGAAAGCCATTTTCTCCTCCATTGCCAAAAATATAAGGAACAAGGATACATCACAAGATCTCAGAAATAATATGAGAAACTTCTATTAAAAAGCAAGGAAGAAAAATTGCTTAATTCTAGAAGATGTGAAAGAGATTGTTATTATTTGACTAGGTGCTTGGTGCTGTACAATACACAACAATAAAGACAGTCTGTTCCCTCTGGACCTTACAGTCTAAAAAACATACACAGATGACAAATGGCACTGGAGAGCCCAGATGAGAATAAATTTAAAGGAAATCCCCTTTTCCATATTGAAGGTAAACTCACTTATTAGTTTCAGAGTAGCAGCCGTGTTAGTCTGTATTCGCAAAAAGAAAAGGAGTACTTGTGGCACCTTAGAGACTAACAAATTTATTTGAGCATAAGCTTTCGTGAGCTACAGCTCACTTCATCGGATGCATTCAGTGGATGCATCCGATGAAGCGAGCTGTAGCTCACGAAAGCTTATGCTCAAATAAATGTGTTAGTCTCTAAGGTGCCACAAGTCCTCCTTTTCTTTTCACTTATTAGTATTGCGGAAGAAGAGATGGTGAAAACAGCTTCACAACACATGACAATCAGCCACTACTTTAGAAATGAACAGTGCTCCTAAATATTCTACAGAAGCCCAACACGGCTGTGCAGCTGTATCCTAGATTCTTGAAATTGTAGCCTCCCTTTGGCACCACTTACCTACCTTGTCGTGCCCGTACAGCTATCTTGAACTCAGCCCCCCTGGGCTGCCAAAGGGGATGGTGATCAGCACTCTAAACATTGCATCTGAAATGTCCCACGCTCCCTGAGGTCTGAAAGAAGTTAGGCAGAGCAGGCACCCTGCAGTTTACTGCGTGGGGGGCTTTTCAGGCAAGACCTTGTATGCCCGAGTTCTGCCAGGACGTTAGGGGGTCTAGGGCATTTTTTTGGGGGGTACAGGACAGAGTTTGAAGCAAATTGCTTGTCTCTGGCCACCCTGTGAAGCTGCTACCCGCCGCCCCCCCGCCCCAGAGGTGGCTGCACCTCCGCAGGGCGGGGCGTGCAGGGTTAGGGATGTTCCTCATGGGGGTGAGCAACACAGGACAGATGTTGGGCTGTCTCACACCACACTCGTCTGCCCCACCCACACTACCACGGGAAGGATGCCCCGCCCCACTCTCCTGCCTCCACTGCCCCTCCCACCCCCACCCCCCTTGTACCAACTGCACTTCCGCATCCTCCTGCCCCCCTCCCACTGCCGGGCCCCGGGCCCCTCCCCCATCCTCCGACCCCTTCCCTGTGCGCTCTCCCGCCCCGCCTGTCTCCACTCCGGCTCCTCCCCCTGCCGTATCCGCCCTCCAGGAATGAACGCGGTGGGCGTGGCCAGACGACGCGCAACGACGAGGGGGCGTGGCCAGATGACGCGAGGCGTGAGGCGCGATCCCGGAAGCGGCCCGGCCCCTGGTTGGTCGGCTCCGGGGCGGGGGGGGCCCCGCGCTTGTTGTTGTTCCCGGGACTCGCACACACAGGGAGGGCGGCTGAGAAGCGCGTCCCCGCCACCATTCCCCCGCGCCGCGCGCGTCCCCGCCTCCACCGCCACCTCCCCCCCCCGGGCGCTCCTGACAGGCCCAGGTAAGACGCAGCCCCCGGGGTGCGGCCGTCGGGTCCGGCTCGGCTCGGCTCGGCTCGGCGGGGCGGGGCAGGGTCCGGCCCGCGCGGAGCCCTCGAGCCGGGCAAGGAGCGGCCGGGCACTTTGTAGCAGGAGCTGGAAATTCGCTGAGTCATCATCGCGTGGGACACGTGGTGTCTGTCCACCCCGTCCCGGGCCGACCGAGCCGAGCCGGGCCGGGCCGGACCGTGCTGCCGCGTCCGGATCCGCGCCGGGAGCGGCGGCGGCGGCTCTCACACACGTGGCTGCCCCGGACGGGGGCCCCACCACGCGCTCGGCGCGGGCGGGGTGAGAAGCGGGCGGGGGCGCTGCGGGGTGGGGGGCGCACTGCCGTGGGGCGCGCCGGCTGCGAGGGGAGGGGCAGGAGCCGGGGTGGCTCTGACCAGAGGGCAGAGGGGCTCCGGGTGGGGTGTGAGAAGTGGGGGCCGGCCGGCTTGGCATTGGGGGGAGGGGCTGGGTGCATGGAGCGTGGCACGAGGGCGAGAAGCGGGATCTGGGCCATTAATGAGGCTTGGTGAGGGGTCGCGGATGCCTCCCCCTTCTCCTGGGGATAGGAGGGGAGACGAGAAGGAGCTGGATGACAGTAGGGAGGCTACCAGGAGCATTTGAGGGGCAATCATGGCTCATAGACTGCAGGTGGCACAAGGGTCTTGGGGAGAAGAGTGCAGAAGTATATGGGATTAGCACTCTCCTGGTGGGACTATGTCAATGGGGCATTGGAGCAGGAAATCTGAGCAGAGAGGAGAGGTGAATGGAATGGATCAGAAAGATTGGGAGGGTCTTAGGATCAGAGTTTCCGGCAAGATGAAAAGTGGAGTCTGAAATGGTCTTTTAACTAAGGAAGGGGTGCCTGGCCAAAGGGGCATTGGGACAGGAGACTTTAACTAGGCCAGAGACCCCAATCCCCTGCCTATCCTCTCCAGTCTGGAATAGGGGAGAGAGAGCGCCTAGGCAGGCATGAAGGAGAGTAGAGAGGGATGGTAGTTGGGAGTGAGGCTATGTCTACATGGCACTTTGGGCATTAAAACTTTTGTCGCCTAGGGGTGTGAAAAGCACCGGTGTGGACAAACCGATTTGTCAGTGGGAGAGCGTCTCCCGCCGACTAAACTACCACCCCTCGTTGGAGGTGGTTTTATTTTGTCCTCAGGAGAGTTCTCTCCTGGCAACAAAGAACAGCTACACTGCGTACCTTACAACAGCGCGCCATTGTAAGGTGCGCAGTGTAGACATAGCTGGAGTGAACACAAAGCCTGAAGGGAGTTAATGTTTGGGCTGGAAGGATTGCATCCACTAGAACAGGCTGTAGTGTTAGCAAGCTGTATGATTCAGCAAAGCAACTTTTCAGTTAAATCCTTCTGAATTTAGATAGTGCTGCTGGTGTAACGTCTCCAAGTTGTGATGCTTTTTCTGAATTTAGCATTTGTGCATAGCTCATCTCTGAATGATTTTATTTTGTCCCCTTAAAGAACCCATGCAGCCCCATCATCAAGCATTTGAATGACATGCAAAGGAATCTCTATGCATGCATGTTGGTGGCACACAGGAAGTACCTGAGGAAGGGCAACTGCTAGAATTCAGATGCTCCTGTGAACCCTACTACTACTACATTAAAGGAAACTGCACATCCCTAGATACTTTTGTAATTCTTTGCATTGTGTTAACCATGACAAATGAACACACCTTCATGTGACCTCTTGGGGTGTTGAAACCCTGTGTAAGGCACATGTTGCTTAATCACCTGCTCCACATGGCCACCCATGAGACTGAAAGAGCCTCCTGGTTTAGACATGGTTGTAGTAACATAAGATGCCTTGCATTTTGAATCAGAAATGGCCAGCAGTCCTCGCTACGGACAACTGGCATGTTTTCTATCACTGGGAAGGCCAAAAGCTTAAGCTAGTGGAGGAGGGGACTCTGTACCCACATTGTAGTGGTGGTTCTCATTAGCTTGTGCCATAGGACAAGTGTACAGATTGTCTAATTTTGAATGGTTCTTGAACACGGTTCTAGCAAAGCTGTGCCCTCTGACTCGGAGTTCTAAATATGACTGACTTTGAAATGTAAAGAGAGCATTCTGGGTAAAATCAGTATGGGTCCACAGTTCCAAGTGGAGCAAGGAGGATCTGGAAACACTGATAAGCAGGCATCCCTACTACTGACAGTTTGCATCTCGGAGGTCTTTATCCTCCCTACAAAATACATTAGTTTGCTTAGAAAAGAGGTTTTTCTGGGCTAACAGTAATATTCTGTGCTGATGTGAGAAATGCAGGTTTGGTTTCCTGGTCCACTCTTTTCCTAGACTGGCTGAGAATGGGAATTCCGAGGAGGCAAAATGTTCCCCTTCTGAGGGGAAGGAGATGCTTATTAACAAACCCCACAATCCTTTAGATACATAGAGTTGCACGTAGTCTCATGTCTGGCCTTTGGCCTGATGAATATGACTCTGAGGAGGGCTACACCTGGAAAGGGGAAACATCTGAAAATGGTCTCCAGCAGTTCAGAGACCACACCCTTGATGAAGAGTGAGCGGGGAGGGGGACTTTAACATTCAGAGCATCTGCTATGCGGTAGATTTGCCTGGTGACTGTGCAGGATACATCTGATCACTTTGGATTTTTAGACCGAGATAAGGGCGGAGAAACCTTATTCCTCTATCTTCTTCAGACAGGGAAGGAGATGGCACAAGCTAGAGAAACATCCCTGCTGAGGGGACAGAGGAGGGGGGAAGGGAGGTGTTCTGATCCTTAAAAACATGATTTAGTCAACTTTAGAGAGATCTGTTGCTGCTGCCAAGGGCCATTTCCTCTATCTCCCTCCCCCCATTCCTCTGTGTGTTGCTTAGTGGAGGAGGGGCCCTGTTCTATGGATCCCAGCAGAAAACAGGCCAGGAGATCTCAAATCGGGAACAAACCCCTTTGGGCAAAGGGGCTTTACAGAAAATGGAAAGGGCTCCATTAATTGTCTTGACCTCTTTGCCCTCTGGGTAGCTCCTCACTAGAGCAAAGCTGGGTCTGCGAAGAAGAACAGAGAGGTAGTGAGCAAATGCTCCTGTCCCACACAGTGGGAAAACTGCATCCCTTTTTGTGGGATTTTGGGCCCTGTGTCTTTGGAAAAGGTGCAGCCCTGCTCCCAACACCAGCCCAGCCGGTATGTTCCATTATGCTGCTGCCATGGTTTAGTATTTAATTTATTTACCTTGCTGCTTTCGCACTGATGGAGTCGTGCTTGTCGCCTGCTCTCTTTCTCTCCCCTTCCGTGTGTAAACTAATGCAGAGACGCCTGCCTCCTCTTGTCTCGTCCTAAAGATGATGGACACTTTTATTATCCAATGACAGTGCATAGTCTGGGCAGGGCTGAGGGGGAGGGAGAATTAACCCTGTGTGTACCTAAAGAGATTCTCCCCACTGTATTTTCCACTGAATGCATCCGATGAAGTGAGCTGCAGCTCACGAAAGCTTATGCTCAAATAAATTTGTTAGTCTCTAAGGTGCCACAAGTACTCCTTTTCTTCAGAGAGAATGTGGAGGATAATTATTAATGAGGATATGGTTACAGAGTGCAGGGGCTGTGCTGGATCCAGTTAGATCCAGTTAGCAGGACCCTTGGCAAAATTTGTCAGGGCTTTGTGCTCACACTTTGGCTTAATTGTGCTAAATGTTCTTTGAAACGTTAGGGTTAACGCAGACCCCACCGCAAAAGTGCAGTATCTAAAAAATATGGAAGCAGAAATCCGCAAACTCTGTTTCTAGTGTCTGAGGGCTGTGCACTTTGCAAGTTTCCCCTAATTCTGTGCCTTAGCCTCCATTGTTTTTGCAACAGATTGGCAGACTTAGACATTACAAAATTTATGTCTTTATTGAATTAACTGTAAACGATTGGTTCAGTCTACATTGTCAGTCAGTGTTCAGGTGCTCTATTGAAAACGTGTAACTATATTGGAAGTTTGAGAACTGAAGGTGGGACGCCTGGGGCTTTTGGTGGCTGAAATGGCATGGTGTGCAGTTTTGTTTTGATTTTTATCCCACAAACATACCTGTACTTTGAGTATTTTGTAGCTAGATGCCTGCTAAAACAGTGCTAACTCTCTGTTATCAAGAAATCCCAAGCTCAGCACCCTATTGAGATGAATAAGCATCTCGCTTTTTGCTGAGCGATTGTTTCAGGCTGTCTAAAGCCTCAGGCAGGTAATACTGCATTGGTTCATGTTTGGAAGATGTTCTTGTGACTGTAAAGCCTGGAAACTCTCCTTAATGAAAGCCATGATCCTGCTGCTCAGTTCTGAAGCAAGAGGTAGATCTGCAGCAAATTCCACTGGCTTGCAACATATGGGACACTGCATAACAGTACTGTTATCTCTCCTCCTTGCTAACTATCACTATATAGGCTGAGAAAGATGTGATATAATAGTTGGAGCATAGGATGACAAAGAGCCATGAATTCATAAATCCTAATCCCAGTTCTGCCATTAAATCCCACTGTGGCTGTGAACAAATCACTTCACTGTGCTGGGCCTCAGTTTCAGTGTCTGTAAAATGGAATATTTATTTGCCTCTGGAGCTGGTGTGAGATTTAACTGATATTAGTAGAACATTATATATCACTATATTTTATAAATGCACATGAAATCAGAGCTCTGTACCCTCTTTATATCAGAAGCTGTCTGCAATACATCTGACCTCAGTAGCTCCCAGTCTCCCCTCCCTGAAACTCCAGGGTCTCTGTAACGTGACACACAGGCACGCTCTCATGATACCCTGAATCCTCTGCTCTGTAACCACAAGGACTCTGCAGCATCTGACTCAGTTGTTTACTAAACCACTGAAGACTGTCTGATCCCTGTCCAGGCTTCCCCAGAGAGAGCCTCAGAGTCCTGTCCTGACAGCAGTCTGATTCAGTCTGAAGGTTTCTGAATCTGTTCTTTGCTTCTGGATGCTGGTTCTGATCCATAAGCGAAATGGAAAGCTGGCTAGCTGGGTGAGTGTTCTTGTGTAGCTTCTCTCTAGAACAGTAAACACAGTGACTCACCCCTCCTGTGTGTCTTCTGTCCATTCACGTAGAAGTTATTGCCTCATGTATGCTTGCTCTCTGTGTGATTCATATCATCGGTGTATCCTTCTCCCCTTCTCTGTTACAGATGAATGACAAGTGTCAGTCTGCCTCTCAGTGTGTGTGAGGATTGATAGAGCAGGAGGAGGACTTGTGAATGATGGAGGGAAAGATACTCTCTGCATTCCACACTGCAGTGTCTTGGAAATCTATGCTATGTCTCCAGGGGACGGAAGCACAGGGCTTAGGGTTTAAGCATCTGCCATTCCCTCACCTGTCAGACCTGATGTCCTCCTTGGTGGATGTGTCATGTGGCCAGCTTTGTAGGCATGGTTAACTGACGTGACCATCTTGCAGGTATGGCATGTGAAGGTATGACGCTAGGGATTGGATAAGTGTGTGCTTTTCACTGGATGAGAACAGTTGTCAAATTGAAATGCTCTGCAGGGGCCAGGAATAGCGTGGCTATTCAGCTTCTCACAGCAGCAGCCAGGGCAGTCTGTCTGGCCTCTGACATAAGGGCAGGCTGTTGGCTATGGATTACTCATTCATGGTGACTAGCCACACTCCAGCTCCAAGTAGCCAGCCTTTTAAATCTTAAAAGAGACTTACAGGCAGAAGCAGGAAGAAGGGTACCAAGAGTTGAAAATAGCTTGTGGATAAACGGAAAGTTTGGGTAAGTCACAGAACAATTTCATTGAAAATGATCTAGCTGGATTTCAGTATGGCTGGACACGGTGTATTCCTTGCATAATCTTCTGTGCTTAATTGAGACTATTGATGATTGATTGTCAGATAAAATTGAGAATTCCTTCCTGCTTAAACTGTACACCTCTGTCTGCTCCTTAGGAGGGGAAAAGTTGTTGCAGGTTTGGGGTGAGGGTCATATAGTCTCATATTACTGTACGTGCTGCTTCATGTGTGAATGGAAGCTAAAGAACTGTGGTGCTTCCTACTGGATAATTTATGTCCTTGCCAATGTTCCCTTTTGTACTAAAATGAGTTTTAACATCCAAGGCTATGTATGAACTGCAAACAAGTGCATCCATGGCTGCTGTTAGCTACACAGTGACTGCTGGTATCTAACCCCATCCTTTGAAAAGTGCTTTGGAGCACTGGAGTGTGAAAAGTGCTATTCAAACCAAATTCTGATCTCATTTGCTGTGCTCTTCTCACACAGCAGTGCTGCCCCACCTCATCCTACTAGTAAGGGTTGTCTTGGTTGAGTGGGTGGGGAAGAGGAGAGCCCCAAAGGAAAATAGTGGGTATTGCAGTGTGTGCCAAACTGAAACCATCAAATGTGTGATCCTGGGCTGAATAAGAAGAGCACTTCAAGCTCTCATGAGGATCCTGTAAGTCAGATCAGAGCCATCTGGGGGTCAACTGCAAGGGTGTTGACAGAAGTGGGGCTGGATTTCCAATTAAGCACAGTAGGCACGTGCCTAGGGGCGCAGGCGTTCTAGGCGCAACTTACCTCTCTAAAACTGTGCAAGATGAAGGTCAGCTGTGGGTGGGGGGTGCTGAAGATGCTGTGCCCTAGGAGCACATAAGGTGTAAATCCGGCCCTGGACAGAAGTGCTGTGGGATAACCTTATAATAAAAACACTAGCACTGTGGTTCTTTGTATACTTCCAATAAAAACACTTGTTTTAAATATAAATGAGAAACACAACCTTATAGAAACACTTGTCCCTTTACCAAGGGCATAATAATACTTAGTACATATTTATATATCACTCAGAAATGTGCCATGCGGCTTACAGAATAAAAGTTGTAACGGTCCCTGCTCCGAAAAGCTTGAAGTCTAACTTGAGATAGGAGGCTGCAAATGCAGTTAACAAGGAATAGGGAAAGAAAATGTTTATCGTAATAAGATCACACATTTATATAGAGCCTTGCAGACACCCCTATAAGGTATGTGCACTGGACACCATTAAAAATTGAATGTTTGCAGCACTGTGTGTACCTTTTTACTAAAGGGTTTTCTGGGTTTTTTTCAGTCTGTGTACAGGAAATGCCACATACTATAGTGTATTTAACCACTTGTAGATGATAAATAGCCATAAACAGCACCAACTGTGTAAGTATTCCCCACCCACCCCTGCTATACAGATGGGGAAATTGAGTCAGAAGTTAAGTAACTTGCTCGAGGCCTAAGAGTGCATAATTGTCTGTCAGGGTTACAACCTAATTCATGGTACTAAGTCTTGTTCAGACCACACCACGTGATAGTCACCGGCATAAAATAAATTTATCATGGGATATTCAGTCACTCGAGTGATCCTGGTGCTTTTAACAGTACTATATTAAACTCTCAAGTAGGAGTCTGTTCTCAAATAGCAGTGGACCTTGACTCCAATGTCTGTGCTTGAACCAGTATTTGAGAATTGATGCTTATGCAAGAACCAAATTCCTGTGTGGGGTCTTCTTCCAGATGCTGATTTTTGCTTATTATTTACAGGTAATCTAATGACTGCCACCTATAACACTTGTAACAACCTGGGCCCTTGTTAAATTGTTGTGTGCACTAGAGTGCCTGGTCTGGTACCAAACATGGAGGAGTCTAGGACCTTCCTCTGAGCAGTGTGGAATGTAAATAGATATCCCTTCAGCAGACATCCAGCACAAAGCAACAGGTGACCAGAAGGGGGGTTCATCACACAGAGTCGCAGGAGGCTTTTAAAAATAAGCAGAGTTACTTTGGGTGGCAGACTACTTCTAACAGTGATCCCCGGGGAAGTCTCCACCCTCAGCACTTGCTTTCCACAATATTCCACATTTCTTCCCCTCTCTGAGCAGCCAGTGGAGTGTTCAGTTTTTCCATCCACTGGTGTAGAAAGTGCTTTGAAGACTCACTGGGTGAGGATCAAAAGCCTTTTTGTGTAATCGGTGGGTGTGACCGAGTCATGTTCTGCCCCCTCCCCCCTTCCTTTCTTGACTTCCCTTTTCCGTTTTCATTGGGCCAGGTGCCGGGTGTGCCCCTTTCCTTGCAGGGATTGGGGGGATGCGGAGGGAAGGAAGGAAGGGTTTCTGGGTCTGTGGGAATGTGAGCTCTAGCTCTCCAACTCTGTAAACAGCTGGTGACTCACTGCATAGCTATGGCACCAACTGACTGCCAGGCCTGAGGCTGTGTGTGCATGCGCGCGCAGGCGAAGAGAAGGGGGTGCAGTGTGTTTTCTTTATACATGGGCAACTCGCTGCTCCTTTTACTCCTTAGGGCCATTTGGCCAGGTCTAGGAGCCCTTCCTTCTTCCTGTCTGTGCTTATGATGTGTGTTTGTGTCTCTGGCTTGAGCAGGAGCATGCTCCTGCTAGGCGTAGTTAGTGAATACCAACTGTGACTGGGAAGTGAGGGAGAGGAGAACTGCAAAGGGGGAGAAGTGATGTCTGGACAGATGTCTGCGCGTGAGAGAGAAGACTCAACCCTCCCTCAGGCTTCTTAGTTGTGCTGCAAGTTTTGTATTTCACATAGAAGAGAGGTCAGACTCCAGCTTCACACCCATCCCTTTTCCCCCTCAGTAAGTGGTGAGGTGCCCTCCCAGGTGGGTTTGTGCTACTCAGTCCATGATGAATAATGACCGTTTGTCCAGGGCATTTTTAGTGGGCTTTGCTGAGTCTGCTCCTGCTGCCGGGGAGGAGGTGAGAGTAGCTGGCACTGCTGTGAGGATGGGGTGTAATACGACACAATGCACCACCCTGTGTGGTGCCGCACAAAAGACACTGCGTACCAGTCGCTTTAAGTGGCCCATTCATCATGAAGCGTCTCTCGCTGGTCTGGCTCGTGTACTGCGTGATAGGAGGCAGTCGGGTGGGGGCTAGACATGCAGATGGAGAGATACTATCTCTGTCTCAGGCTGACAAAGAGATGAGGTGCTTTATTGAAAACATTCTGCAATCCAGGGAAATGGTTTTACTTTGTGATTTTGTTCTTTGTCTTTCCTCTCCCTCAATTGTGTGCATGTCACATGATGAAGTATCTTGACTGGTACAATTCAAGCAAAAGCAGCCTGAACTGAGACAGCCTCCTTTACCCGCACAACTCCCTGTCACCTCCTGCACCCCACTTTCATATGCCCTTGGACCTCCCACCTCCAGGGTTGTTTGCAGATATGAATGAGTTTGTTTACTCTCTGACGACCTCATGATGTCTTTTCACAGACATGACCTGAAGTCATCATTGCTTTTGGGCTTCTCTGTTTCCATGGTTACTGGCTCAGGGTTGGCTACTTTCCCAAGGTCACCATGGCAACTATCAGAAGGGAATCATGCTTGGGATGCTTTGGCTGTATTTTTCATCAATGATTAGAATGTGTGACACGATGCAGACGTGGAAATGGGATGGGGAGGGGAGCAGAACTCCCGCCAGACAGTCTGTGTGTTCTGTACACCCAGCACCACTGCAGCCTTTGAAATCCACTCCAGCTGCTCCTTGGGAGGGACAGACTCTGTGTCAGAGCTGGAGCCCTCACACCCTCCCCAGCTTGTGTAGCCAAGATGCTGGGGAAAGTATAGGCAGATGCTGTGATGTCACAGCTGCAGTGCCCTCTTCTGTGGTAGGTACATCACGAACAATCACTCTGGCAATGTCATCTCTCCAACTTGGTGGGTGTGAAGGTTCTGGAACAAGGTCCCCCTGGACGGATTCTCTAAAGTGCTGATTGAAGGGGAGAAGTTAGCAGCAAAGGTGAGAGTGAAGGGCAGCTTCTCAGCAGAGGACATTCTTTGTCAATGGATACTCCTCTAGGAATATCAGACAGGTGACTTCTCGCAGCCTTAGGGTGAGACATGAAGCAACAGTCCTGATCTACCAGGAGGCACAGAAACTCGCCCCGTGTCTTAATAATCGGTTTTGCCTGCTTTTTTAAAAGTGATATATTTGCGGTGTCTGGGGCTAAGGGTTAGTAATGGAATACCTTTCTTCCCCAGGCTGCTGGTTCAAAGCCAATCCAGGTCAGTAATGACCAAAATGGGAGGGGAGCGGTGGCGGCGGCGTTCCTGTCTGGTGGCTTTTTCGTGTCTTTTGTGAAATGAGTTGATAGTCTTAGTCCAGTCCCTAACGGCTGGATCTGTATATCTCAAAATCCTCCACAGGGCAGATGAAGAACTGACCGGCTCATGGAGACTGAACTCCCCTCTAGCCCTTAGAGGTGAGATAGCACATTGCCACAGTAGTGTATGGTAGCCAGCACAATTGCTACTTGAGGATGGAATCCAGTATTCATCTACTTCCTCGCACTTTTTCTAAGCAAAAATATTACCAAGAATTTAAAACCAGCCCCATTTAACTTCAAAAAACCAAAACAAGCTGTATTTACATGTGGCACTTGCTGGCAATACAAAGAAGACTCTCCCATACGTGGCTGGAGGAAGACACTCCTCTCTGAATCCTTCTGGTGGTCCTAAAGGTTGATGGGTCACTATGTCTTGAATGTTGGGTCTGTTTCCTTCCCTATTCCCTTTGAAAATCCTGTTTGTGTTGTTTTTTCCAGTTGCAATTTCTGACCAGTTCTGTCCAGGAGACCGTGCCCAGGTTATGACGACTAATCCCAAACCGAACAAGGCATTAAAGGTAAGGCTGTGGTGGGAGCCTGACTGAGATGATTCTGGGTAAATGGGATGGGGTCAAGGAGCCATGCCGATAGTGCCAAAAGCCATTTATTCTCTGTGGGGTTCTGCTTGCAAATTAGTGTGTCAGAATGCTTCTTTGGTATCAGCCGGGAAGCACTTGGGAAGAAAGGATAGAGGGGCACTGATGATATAATGGGGGGCGAGGGGGGAAGACAAGAGTCTCCGGGATTGCGCATAGACCAGCGTGTCTGTGTTGGTATTAAGGAGACAGGCGGGGGTTGAGGTGTATTGACAGCATCGCGAAACGTATGGTCTGCGGGCGTGAGAGACTGCTGCTACTAGGGGCCCATGCACCTTGATAAGGAAGCTGCAGATTTGCAGATGTCTTACCTATAGATCTGAGTAGGCAGTGAACTCCTCATAGACACACTTGCCTCATGGCTTCGATGGCACATTTTGCTGATGAGCCTGTTAGAAATCCCTTCTAGTGTCTTGAGTCTCTCTTCCAGTGCCCTGCATTCTCTGTAGACGTTCTTTTTACCCCTTTAAAGTTCTGCAAATAACTATGGATAAAAAACAAACAAATAACCTCTTAAAGGTTGAGAGAGGGAGAGTTTCTCTGTCTGCCTCATCTAACCTCCCTGTACTGTGGCCCAGTAAATGGGCCTGCAGCCTTACCACTTCAGGATGTGGTCTTATGAGCTAAATAGGGTTGGGTTTGGATAGTATGTGGATGGGAGACCTTCAGAAAAGAAATGCACAAGGTGCAGGAGGTGGCGGTGTTTGTTTTGGGTCAGTACTGACCCAATGCCTCAGCATAATCCTGCAAGGCACTGTGCTGCTGGAGATAAGATGAAAAGCTATGGTCCTGACCCCTTGCGATAAAGATCCTGTGGCACGTTTCAGCTCAAACAATTTTACTCCAGTCTCCCTAAAAGTCTCCTTGTAGTTCTATCTGGATAAGAAATCCATTGCTGTATCCCCCTGCAAATGGCTGTGTAATGTTCTAGATATTTTCTGCCAGCTCCCATCACAGTGGTTTGTACGCCCTGAAGATACTATGCTAAAATATCTGCCATGTGCCACTGAGTGGTGGCTGCATTTCAGTGGTATGAATAGCCTGTAAAGTGCTTTGGGATCATTCTGTCTGGAGAGGTGCTATACGAATATAGTTACATTACTGCAGGGTAGCATAGTTGCTTTCTTGCTTTAGCCAGGATGGCTGCTTAATACCTGGTCAGGTTGCTTGCTGTTGACTGTTATCTCTGTGAAATTGATGCTTGTAGGTAAAGGAGGAGTCGGGAGAGAACGCCCCAGTGCTGAGTGACGATGAACTCGTGTCAATGTCCGTCCGGGAGCTGAACCAGCACCTGAGGGGTCTCACGAAAGAAGAGGTCATCCGCCTGAAGCAGCGGAGGCGCACGCTCAAGAACCGGGGCTATGCTGCCAGCTGCCGCATCAAGCGTGTGACACAGAAGGAGGAGCTGGAGAGGCAGCGGGTTGAGCTGCAGCAAGAGGTGGAGAAGCTGGCCCGAGAAAACAGCAGCATGAAGCTAGAGCTGGACGCCCTGCGCTCCAAGTACGAGGCGTTGCAGACCTTTGCTCGTACTGTTGCACGGGGGCCTATTACCCCGACCAAAGTCGCCACCACTAGTGTCATCACCATTGTGAAATCAGCTGAAATCTCATCCAGTTCTGTGCCATTTTCAGCAGCATCCTAGTGCCCTAGATGGGGGAACTAGCAGCCTTTCGGAGGGATGCGGAAAGGGCTCTTATGCACCGTTCCAGAGTCCTTGGTCACTTCAAGAATTGGCATTTTAACAATTCCTTCTCTTTCAAAAGTGCAAAAAAAAAAAAAATCTACAAAGGGAATGTAACTGGCTGCTCCTCCGTGAACTTAGTGGTTCCAGGAAACTCTTGTGGCTGGGATTTGAGCTCTGTACCTAGTTTGAGCTTTCTCTTCCTCCTCTCCCTGCCTCCCCAACCCTCTTTAAGCTGTGGGCAGCTTCTCAATTGGGAGAAGATACTGGAGGAGCCTTCGTCGTCTTTGTGAATGATGTTCAAGAGCCAGCTAACAGATGGACTGTCAAAATCATGTGAGGTGAATGTATAGAGAAGAGTTTCCTTCAGTGGCATCCAACTCCTATTAAGAAGTTACCTCACCCCACCACCACCTTCATCTGTCATAGCAGTGGCAGAGAAATAAACTCTGAAGCAGTGTGCATTCTGCCATGCGCTGCGGGGAGGAAAGGAGGGTTGGTTATAAAGAGGGGTAATATGTTTGGGTCAGACCACACCAGTTAGGAAAAACCTTCCTGTCTTCAGCCCATACTGGTTACCAGTTTACATGTTTTAATGCACCCCATACCTGTGTGGCCTATAAAGCTAAATTGCAGCCTCCCTTATACAAAGCCAAGTCTACCAAGAGCTCCTTCCCCAAGATGTGCCTGTAAATTGGGTATATTTATGCAGTTTATTTCTTCCAGATGATCCACAGGTTTGTAATAGTGGCATATTCAGGGTTCCTTGACCCTCAAAGGAGGAAGGCACAGTAAAATTTAAGAAGGGAGGTATGTTGGGGGGCATAGAGAGAAATACTAAAGTATTGCTGGACTGAGGCAGAGTAGGTTGCCGTGTGGGGGAAGTTGTTCTTCTGGAAATCAGCCCTGTGGAAAGGTGTTTCCATAGAGCATGCTAGAAAGATGTGTTAAAAACACTGAAGTAATGAGAGGGCCAATAGTACATGTGTAAGAAGATCAAAGCCAGCAGAGACTCCTGGATGACCGAGGTAGTGGTGGTTAAAGCCTTTGCCTGTTAGAACAATAACCATCCCAACCTCAGGGGCCATGTACACTAGTCTTTGCCAACAAGAGATGGGGTATGGGATGCTGGGTGGAAGCTGAAAAGAAGAAAGATTCTTAACCCAATCTCAGTCATTAAAGCTGGGTTCCAAAGAGTAGAAAAACCTATAGTGTTTTGTGTTGGGAGGGTTGAGAGAACCTGTCTGAAGACAACCCTGAAACTCAACGTTTCTTGGGGGTGTGAATTATCCCAGGAGATGCATGGAGGGCAGGATTAGAATCGGTGGCTTTTGGGGGATAGTAAAATTGGGGTCGAGAAGTAGGGCTTATGGTTCTGAAGGGCAGTTGGGAAGAGGTAACCGTGGATCAGCAGTGGGCAGAAAAGAGGAAGCCAAAGGGAGAAGAGTCCACTCTTCTTTAACAGGACTGAAAAGACATTCTAAGTTTCCAGGTCAGATTGTAAATAACTATGTTCATGTTTGTGTGTTTGAAGTAGGAAAGAAAAGGGATTGCCTGGTGTTCCAGAGTGGGTCAAAGATTTGTGGGCTGTCAGATGCCTGTTCTAAAGCAGGTGAGAAGAGGTTGAGACTCCTGAAGTTTAAGGTGACTGGAGGAGATGGCTGATGTTCCTATTCAGAAGAGTTTGGTAGACTCGTGTTCCAGAGTAAGGAACAAAGGAGAAGATGGAGAAAAATGATTGGTGTTCTAGTTTAACTGAAAAGGATAAAGGAAGATGCTTGTATCATTGAAGAGGACAGAAAATTGGCATCCTAGACCAGTGTAGGATACCGTTTGTGAAGTCATCTTGTGTCTTGAATAGCAAGAAGAATGCACAAGTTTAGTGAAGCTCTGTCTTTCTTCTAAAGACAAACACAAGTTGTTCTTGGCTCACTTTTATCCAGTTACTGGGAATCTCTGGGTTTCCCAAGAAGGTACTTAAGTCAAGTAGTTGGAGAGGCAGAACCTGATTCTCATTCAGTCCTAAACATCTACACTGATGACTTTACTGAGCCATAGAATGTGTAAGAGTAATGCTTCCTTGATGGCTTTTACCCCACCAGATTAATCTCCTCCTTGAGGAGGCAAACAGGAAGTTACCAACAAATATAGTTTGGATGGTATTTAGCTCCTCCACTTCCTTACCACCTCCTAACAGGCAGATTGATGTCCTGATACCAGTTATTGGCTCCCCCAGCAGAAGCTGAGGAAGAGAAGGGAAGACCCTTTTCATGTTCTGTAACTCAAAAGTATTTGGAAACCTTCCCAGATCTTTAAGGTGCCACCATTAATACAGGCAATGTTTAGATTCCTAGCACTGTTGGGATTTGAAAAGAGAAAAACAGAAAAATATCCGGTGGACTTGGAAATGACTGAATGTTCCCCATTTCTATAATAGCTCCATGAAAGTCTTGACATTCCTGAACAGATAAGATCACCACCCCACCACCACCCGGGGCATCCGTCACTGCACCAAGGAAATGAGATCGAGACAGGAGTGTAATGGGGAATTTATACGTAATTCTGTGGGGTTCTCTTGCTGTTGGAATGAGATGAGGACTAGATCTGAGTTCTTTGCTAGTACTTCCATTGTGGCTGAGCATTTTCCAGTTCTCAGAAGTGTGCCAAAGGCTTGTCCAAGTGATTGCTGATTTAGTGCTAGTAGGCGCATAGTCTCTGATCACTCAATCAAGAATGAGACCTGGGTGTTATTAAAGCTGATACCATAACCATGGTAGGTAATCCATATTGGATATCCATAAGGACCACGTGGAAATATTTAAAAAGAGAAATAAATATATATATATATAAATATATTATATACATTTTATCATACAGATTTTTCGTAATTTTTTTTTCCAAGTTTGATACTGTAAATCTTTACTAAAAGAAATTGCCAGTCCAGGGCTCCTTGGGTGGTGATTTGGGGGGAAAGGAGGCATGCTGGCTAACTTCAACAGGTGGGTCAGAATTGCAAGGTAACCTAGAGGGAGTAACAATCTGAAAGCTGCTCACCACATTGGAGAGACAACTCCCTCTCCCTTCTTCCTCTGGGGTTTGTTTCTGTTCCGTCCTGCACTTGCAAGTCTGATGCCCAGGGCAAAAGCCACATGAGGGGAATTGGGCCAATGCTTGCAGAATCAGTAGGAGAGCCCTGTTGAAAAGGAGTGCTTATTTCTCTTCAACCCTCCTTCCACTTCCTGCTTGTCTCTCCTTACTGCAGTAACTAGGGCTCCTTTCTTGCCCCTCTTATCTTGTCACACCACCACTAGAGGGAAGCAACGAGCCTTAATTTCATGAGGATTAGGCTCCAGTTCTGAACCCAGGCCCAGAATTTTCCTCCGATACCCACCTGTGCATAGGAACCACAGTATGAAGGTGGGGACATTAGAAGCAGCCAGCGGTATGTCCCCAACCCACAGTTGGGGCGTTGTGGGATGTTTACATTGGGCAATAACAGGTCCTTCTTATCAGGGGCTTCTCTGTGCTCCTGTACGTGCATTTGTTGTGCTCCTGACTGGGAATAGTTTCCCACTAGAGAAGCGTCAGAGCCCTTTGAAGCAAGTTAGCGTCTCTGCTCTTGCCCAGCTATATCTTCTGCCTGAGGAAACAACATTTAACGAGCAAAAGGGTTGTGCGTTTTGTAATGCCACATCTTTCTGGGACAGGTGAGGGAAGGCAGCAGGCAAAATGAATAATGGCTGGGAGGGGCGAGGGAGTGGCAAGGTTTATGTACTGCTGGAATAGTGGGACATTCAAGCTACAGTGCGACTCAAAGCCCGAGGAGGAGGCATTTTTTCTCTTTGAGATCATTTAAACTTTGTCATGATTTCATTTAAAGAAAAAAAACTTTTGTAATGTGGGTTTGTTTTCCTTTGTCATCTGTACTTCAGTCTGCTGGGGTGTTTCTGTAGATGGTGGGTCTTTTGCTTTCTTTTTTTTTTAAATGGTAGATCTTCTGTTAAGTTTATCACCAACTCATTCTATCCTCTGTGGTTATTCAGTAATTTCATTTCAATATTTATTTTGCTGCTTTTTTTATTATAAAATAAATTATTGATATACCAAGTAATGTGGATTCCTGTTTGTAAGGCGTGTAGCCCTGTGTATGTGTCCACCACGGTCTCTTGACAGCCACAACGTAATTTATTGCTGTAAATTTAGCTGCAGTGACTGGTTTTTTGTACCTTTCCAATAAAGCATTTTCTGGTTTCAGAGTTGTGCTGGTGTATGGTCAGCATTTTGGAGCCTGAATTAATCTTCAGTAGAGCACTTTCCTTAACCTAATCTTTTATTTCAGCCTGTACGTTATATAGCTTGCTGGGGCCTGCTATTAAAAAAAAAAAAAAACCTTGCCTTTAAAAGCCAGGCTGGGCATGTACAGGTGTTACTCTGCTAAGGCCTGGTGAGGAGTTATAGGAGACCCAGGTTTCTTGACCATGTAGCAACAAACTGTTTACCCCTGTGCTAAGCTGCTGGTTTGTCAACTCACCTCATCTCAAAGCCATGATTTAGCTGCTTCAGGGAGCTAGCGTGTACTCCACTCCCTTCATAACCAGCTTCCCCACTGACAATTTTTGGTGCCCTAGTCATTTTGAAAGGTTTCAGAGGAACAGCCGTGTTAGTCTGTATTCGCAAAAAGAAAAGGAGTACTTGTGGCACCTTAGAGACTAACCAATTTATTTGAGCATGAGCTTTCGTGAGCCACAGCTGAGCTGTGGCTCACGAAAGCTCATGCTCAAATAAATTGGTTAGTCTCTAAGGTGCCACAAGTACTCCTTTTCTTTTAGTCATTTTGAAGTGGCATCTGGTTCAGCATGTTCCCTGGCCCGCTTGCTTCAACTTTCATGATTCAGCTGGAATTGACTCTGTGTGCGTTCCTCTGCACCAAGCTGCACTTTTTTGCATACTCACAGTGGTCTCTAGCCATGCAGTCTCTACCTATAGTCAACAGGCATTGTTTGTACTTTGATGAGAAGAAGCCCGCCAGGAACCAGCATGTGCTACCACTGCAATAGGTTGTATTCTTCTTTCTCGGTCAACAGGGACCCAGTTAAAGTGCTGCCAGTACGTTAGCTGCTCTGCAAGATGGCTCCTATCCTGGAGAGCTCGCACCGTAGAACGGGTTTTCCTCAAACGTGTGTCCCCACCTTCCCTGTCTGTCTGTGATTACCTAAGGGCAGCACTTGAACCTGGGGAAAATATTTGATAGTTTAAACCTTCAATACGATGCCGGGGGGGGGGGGGGGTTGCTTTCTTTTCCCCTTTCCCATCTGTTTCTCCAAACAGCTGGTACCCTAAGCACTAGCTGCCATAGGTCACAGACCACATTTTAGGAACTGCAGTTACAGAAAACAGGGTGATTGAGGGGGTCCCTTTTAATCCCTTAGTTCATTATTTGTAGGTAGCCTTCGGAGGGAGTTGAATGGAGGTTAGGCACGTGTTTAATAGACCAGGGCATTAATTAAAAAGGGGAGTTAAGGCAGACTTGATTAGAGGAGTACTAAAGCTGCATAGGAGCTTTAGGCCAGGATAAGCAGGTTAAACATGCTAGTGGATAAAGACACTTCAGTGGGGTGGCTGAGACACACGTGATGTGGCCTGAACGAGGAAGGCTTAGTTTTTGGTAAGACCCGATAGGAGCACTAGAGGAGTCAGAGGGGCTGGGGTGGTTGATGTAGAAGTAGATTCTCCCCCCACCCCCAAACTCCTCTTCTTCTGACCCAACTGTTACGTTGTGAAGACAGGGACTAGATTCAGTGACCGTTCAGTATAGGAGGAGGATGCAAGCCTGAGTGGATGGCTGCAACATTGAAGGAGTTAACTTCAGATGACCTAACTTGCCCCTGGAGTACCAGTCAGAAGTTCAGCTCCTGCAAAAGATAGACTAATCCCTTCCCCTGAGAATTGCAGGGAAACTGCTACAACCTGCAGGAGAGAAGCTTCAGTAGAACAGGGATGGAAGGTAGCTGCCCTGCTCTGTAGGGACCACGCTGGCTTTTAGAGGAGTGTAGCTCTCTCTCTGCCCCACTGTGGTAGTCCAATCATACAAAGCCACACCCAACTTTAAGCTTAAACTCCCTTAATTCTCTTGGTTTTGCTCTGTTTGTACAGTGCCTAGCACATAGTAGTGCTAGGCATGGACCAGGAGCGTGGCATGCTACCACAATCCTATATCCCTTCCCTAAAGAGCGTACAATCTAAATAGTGGGTATTCACCCACGAAAGCTTATGCTCCAATACGTCTGTTAGTCTATAAGGTGCCACAGGACACTCTGCCACTTTTACAGATCCAAACTAACACCGCTACCCCTCTGATACTTGATGCCATGCAAGGCTCTGCATTTAGCCGTATGGACTGGAAATCCATCAACCTCATGAAGAAACTTGCACAAGTACAGACAGATACCATCTTCCTTTCCAAAGGCAAATGGATGGACATCATACCAAACGGACTGAAGGTGAAAAATCCATTGCTATCTACATACTGCACAGATCACAGCGAGAGATTATGCCACATGCTATCAAAGAAACTGAGGAACCACCTGATCAGCATCCTATACAGAAAACAGGAAAACATCAAAAAAGAGCTCTCCAACCTGGAAACTCTCATAAATAACCAACCTTCCATACAAACGGACTTTACTAAAATAAGACAGGAGATCTACATTACACACTTCCTCTCTACAAAGGAAAAAGGACTGTAAGCTGTCTAAAATCCTACTTGCCACATGGGGCCACAATAGTGGTACCCCAACTCATCCAGCAATATCGTCAATCTATCCAGCTACACACTCAGCCCGGCAGAAGAGTCTGTCCTATCTTGCAAAAAGAAAAGGAGGACTTGTGGCCCCTTAGAGACTAACACATTTATTTGAGCATAAGATTTCGTGCTCACGAAAGCTTATGCTCAAATAAATGTGTTAGTCTCTAAGGGGCCACAAGTCCTCCTTTTCTTTTTGCAAATACAAACTAACACGGCTGCTACTCTGAAACCTGTCCTATCTTGGGGACTCTTTCTGCCCTGCCACCCCCACCAGCATGATACAGTTCTGCGGTGATCTGGAAGCCTTTTTCCGCCATCTCTGGCTCAAAGAATACTTTCAGAATAACACTCTGATACACCGATACCACCCCCACCAACAGCACAAGAAGAACAACTCCACATGGACGACTCCTGAGGGTCAAAATGACAGTCTGGACCTATACGTAGGATGCTTCCGCCAACGTGCACAGGCAGAAATTGTGGAAAAACAACATCGCTTGCCTCATAACCTAAGTCGTGCAGAACGCAATGCCATCCACAGCCTCAGAAACAACCCTGACATTATAATCAAAAAGAAAAGGAGTACTTGTGGCACCTTAGAGACTAACCAATTTATTTGAGCATGAGCTTTCGTGAGCTACAGCTCACTTCATCAGATGCATACCGTGGAAACTGTAGCAGACTTTATATATACACAGAGAATATGAAACAATACCTCCTCCCACCCCACTGTCCTGCTGGTAATAGCTTATCTATTATCTAAGCTATTACCAGCAGGACAGTGGGGTGGGAGGAGGTATTGTTTCATATTCTCTGTGTATATATAAAGTCTGCTACAGTTTCCACGGTATGCATCTGATGAAGTGAGCTGTAGCTCACGAAAGCTCATGCTCAAATAAATTGGTTAGTCTCTAAGGTGCCACAAGTACTCCTTTTCTTTTTGCGAATACAGTCTAACACGGCTGTTACTCTGAAACCTATTATAATCAAAGAGGCTGATGAAAGGAGGTGCTGTTGTCATCATGAACAGGTCTGACTACCAAAAGGAGGCTGCCAGACAACTCTCCAATACCAAATTCTACAGGCCACTTTCCTCAGATCCCACTGAGGAATGCACTAAGAAACTGCACCATCTACTCAGGACACGCCCTACACTAACACAGGAACAAATCAACATACCCTTAGAGCCCCGACCGGGGTTATTCTGTCTACTACCCAAGATCCACAAACCCGGAAATCCTGAACACCCCATCATCTCGGGAATTGGCACTCTCATTGAAGGACTGTCCAGATATGTAGACTCTCTACTCAGATCCTTCGCCACCAGCACTCCCAGCTATCTCCGTGACACCACTGATTCCCTGAGAAAACTACAATGCATTGGTGATCTTCCAGAAAACACCATCCTAGCCACCATGGATGTAGAGACTCTCTACACAAACATCCCACACACAGATGGAATACTAGCTGTCAGGAACAGTATCCCTGATGATGCCACGGCACAACTGGTTGCTGAGTTCTGACTTTATCCTCACGCACAATTATTTCAAACTTGGTGACAATATATACCTCCAGATCAGTGGCACCGCTATGGGTACCCGCATGGCCCCACAATATGCCAACATTTTTATGGCTGACCTGGAACGACGCTTCCTCAGCTCTCGTCCATTCACGCCCCTTCTCTACCTACGCTACACTGATGACATCTGGGCCCATGGGAAGGAAACCCTGGAAGAATTCCACCACGATTTCAGTAGCTTCCACCCCACCATCAACCTCAGCCTGGACCAATCTACACGGGGGGTCCACTTCCTAGACACCGTGGTGCAAATAAGCGACGGTCACATTAACACCACCCTATACCGAAAACCCACCGATCACTATGCCTACCTTCATGCCTCCAGCTTCCATCCCAGACACACCACACGATCCATTGTCTACAGCCAAACACTGAGGTACAACTGCATTTGCTCCAACCCCTCAGACAGAGACCAACACCGACAAGATCTTCACCAAGCATTCTCAAAACTGATACACACAAGGAAATGAGGAAACAGATCAGCAGAGCCAGATGTGTACCCAGAAGCCTCCTGCTGCAAGACAAGCCCAAGAAAGAAACCAACAGAACTCCACTGGCCATCACAACAGTCCTCAGCTAAAACCTCTCCAACGCATCATCAGTGATCTACAACCCATCCTGGACAAAGATCCCTCACTTTCACAGGCCTTGGGAGGCAGGCCAGTCCTCGCCCACAGACAACCCGCCAACCTGAAGCATATTCTCACCAGCAACTACACACCGCTCCATAGTAACTAACTCAGGAACCAATCCATGCAACAAACCTCGATGCCAACTCTACCCACATATCTACACCAGCGACACCATCACAGGACCTAATGAGATCAGTCACACCATCACTGGTTCATTCACCTGCACGTCCACCAATGT